TTCTCTCCTTGCTGCACCTTTTGGAAGTTGCCCATCCACACTTCCTGCTACCTTAGTATCGTTGTTTTCCTTCTCAGGTCTTGATGAGGTTGAAGATTAAACTGTCACAACTATTATTCTCTCTTCCTAGTTAGATATATTAGGTGCTAGACTTACGTTTTCCAGCTTAGGGCAACTCTATTGTAAACTCCATTATGCCTTCACCCTAGGATTAGATATGTAGGTCATTTTGTTCTCGATTTTCCTTTTCTTAGAGCACACTTGTTATTCACTGTTTTGTATATAGTTTTGTATCAAGCCTAAATCTGTTCTTTAGACTAAAAGGGGAATTGTAGTGAGATACTTACTTTGTCTCCTTCTGTGGCACTGACCACGCCCATTGGGGGTGGAGCCATGGGCGGAAGTGACCTGTGGAAGGAGGTCTGAGGAAGAGCCAGGGAAAGCTCTCTTGCTGGTGGGACTCGACAGGAGAGCATCCGGTGGAACTTGCTGGTATTCATCTGTCTAGGTTGTAAGTTATTTCTCCCTGAATAAACATCTATTGTTTATCCTGATCCTTATATAACCGCAATACATTTCATTTTTCACTCCATTGATACTAATCTATAAATGACAAAAAAACCTATAACATATGCATAACACATGTTTTTCCAGAACCTGAGTGTGTATAACATATGCATACACACGCATGTCCTTCTAGAGCCTGAGTGTATATAACATACACATGCACACACACATCCTTCCAGAACCTGAGTGATCCTGGGACAAGAATCCCAGGAGTAATCTTCATTCTAGAATGTTATATCTTGTTTGATTTGTTACTGTGCATAGTAACAATTTTTCCTGTATACATCTTTCCTGTAAGATCTTTCCTGCAAGATCCATAGCCATTACTGCCCACTATGGAAGTAGCTGTCAGTGAACTCCCTCTCAATTAGGAAGCTGTCTGAGATGAGTGTCCTGTTCAGTTGTAGATAGTAATCACCGTGGTCATGGTTTTAACTAGTAAACTATTCTTCATGAGCTAGAGGGATAGCTCAGCCGTTAAAGGCTAGGCTCACAATCATAAATATAAGAAACTATTCTTCAAATTATTTGAAGTATTTTAAGAGACTACATTATTGTATATCAGTTGAGCATGTTCCTATTTAAAAAGTAAATTATAATTGTGGGAATTACTGTCCATTACTTTAAATGAATTTTTTATTAAACTTTATATTAATAACACTGAAGAGTCGTATTTTATTTATTTACCAGTTAACTTTATAGAAAACAGGAAAGAGGTCAGAGATATAGATTATACCTTCTTACTTTCTGTTGTCAGTTTTTCTGTATTAGAAAGTTCCAGATACAGTAACAAAGCTTTTCTCACCTCTTTCAACTACTTTACCTTCAAAGGTAGATTTGAACCTGCTGCTCTGCTGTAACTCAAAATTCTGGAACTGCTCTACATTCTTAATGTTACTGGTACAGTGATGTGATTCTCTGCAAAATTACATCCTAAGGTAAAAGTTTTACCTAGTGAGGTAGATGGGGTCAGAAAGTAAGGTGCACAGGGAAAAAGGTAGGAAATGATGGGCCAGAGTTTTCTTCTCAAAAGGATCTTAAGAACTATAGCTCTTTCATCAGAAGAATGCAGATAAATGATGGCATGCACTTGATGCAGTGACAAATGAGACATAACTAAAAGTTTATAAGTAAATGAGCCCACAGTAAAGGCAGGTGCGGGTTACAAAAAAAGGAGGAAAAACTTGAAAGATTTTAAGAACTCCGACCTATTCCAAACAGGACAGGAAATACTGACTGAATGACTAGGAACATTGGCTCAGCTGTAGAACTTGGTAAATTTAATACATTTGCTGTTTACTTTCTACTCAGTCAGGTGTCCAGTGTCAATTTACATGGTGTCCTACAAAGTTGTCACACATAGCCTGCTTTTTAGTAGCTTTGGGGGGCATTAGTCTCTTGTGACAGTACAATATGAACTCGTGCCTTAGATCTTGGTTTCACAAATTGTGCACATTTGGAAATCAAAGGAGGAGAAACTGTTTCTTTTCATCTGAAGAAAGGCCTAAAGAAAATTGTCAGCAGAAGTCAGTGGGCCAATTAATTTAAAGTGATCTTGCGTCTGTTTCTGTTATTCACATGAACCTAACCTAGTATAGTTTGAGATCCATGTAAAAGATCTGGGAGTTAAAGGAGAAAACTGTGGCTCTTAAATGTTTGCCACATAAGATTTGAGTGGTGCCCTTAAACAAACTGTACTGTGTTCCATTTGCATTAGAACAGTTTTTACACTTGCACACATACACACACCACAGATTTCTAAGCATGTTTCTATCCCACGTTAAGACCAGGTAGGGGACTAGACAAAGATTGAAGAAGGCTGGGAGACTAAACCTACTAAGTGTTGCTGTCTTTTGATCATGCCTGCCATGGCTTTGTCTGCAGAGAACTGAGATGTGCTTCTCATCAGTGTTGTTTTGATCAGTTTTCTTGCTATTGCCCACATAAAGACACACAACTAACTTAAACATATTTAAAGTACAAAATTAATGTTTCAGCTTTTTTTCTTTGAGTTCTCCTTTAGTCTTGGTTTTGTAGTGAAATATGCCTAGAATATATGCTATCATAAGCAAAGTCACAATAAACTCTGGTTGAGGTTTGAAAGTAGCAAGTCATGTGATGGAAGTAAAAGTCGTAGTCTCTGACCCCTGTGTGCCTTTCAAATCTAACAAGATGAGACACAGACACCTGAAGAATTAATTCCCAGTGAAAGGGAAACCGCCAGTGAGGGAAGTTTTTGATCCTTCTCTTGGTTGAATTCCTATAATTTTGCTGTTCCTAGGACATAGACCTAAATGGCACTCATTATATACATATTTGCTTTCCCCAAAAGGCAGCTAATTCTTTGTTCAGTCAGGACTTCCTGTTTCATCTCAAGTAAGTAAAACTATGCCTAACTTACAGTTAGTATTTGTTTAGTTAAATCAAGTTGAATAGTAGGTCTTTTTCTGGTACCAAGTTTCACCTTTTCTAACCTTTGCCTACTTTATAAGTACAATTCATAATAACAAGTACATTTTGAACAACATTTTTACTTTGGAATTTTTTTTTTTTCTGTTTCATTTAGTGTTGTGTTAAATCTGTTTTGAAACAGTTTATGTTAGATATTAAATGTATGGCCATTTGTAGCACTTTGCCTTTCGAGAACTGTTTTCACAGTCATGTGTGCAGGAAAGCCTTTCCTGGCGCAGGAGGTGAGAAGGCAGAGAAGTTGTTCACTGATAAAATCACCGAGAAAGCGCCTCATGTGTCCATGGTGGTTCTGTAGCAAAGCACCAGTGAGGTTGGTAGCTGTCAAGAGTTCATTTTAAGTGTACTTCATGGTGTGTGCTCAGCAACAAAATCATCCAACTACAAAACATGTAAATCACACATTTTTCAGGGCATGTCTTCATAATAAACTATGTTTGGCTGAATTGGCTTAAATAAACAGACTGTTGGAAGTCACTGTTTCCAACTGCCATAGTAGTCTTAGAAAGGGATTGTTTTATCATCCGTTAACTCAGAATAGGTAATTAATTTCTGGTAAAACTCAGAGACAGTATATTGGTACTGTATGTTTGGAGTTGTGCTTTGCTTGGCTCATCCGTTTAATCCCCACAGTAGTTCTATAAAAGTAAAATACTTTGATCTCTCTCCATCTTAAGTTATGAAAGCTCATACATACAGAACATAAGTATCTTGCCTAGTATTAAGTGGTGAAGGGGAAAATGTATTCTTAACCCATACATCATACTGTAGGAAGAGGTAAAGAAGAAAAATAGGATTTCTGCTCCTAGAATTTGCATCCCATTGAGAAAGAGTGTAAAAAGTGTCAAGGGTACTTTATACCTAAATGATTGCTGTAGTTTTGAGGGAGGGAAAGCTTACCATAACCATAAAGATGATGGAGATAAGAGAAATCTTGAATTTGCATGAACTTGGCATCTATAGTACATACCTTAGTGAGAAGAAAGGAAAGGACTTGGTCTAAATGAAAAGGATAGGAAATTGAGGGGCTTGAAAGCACAGCTGGTAATGGCTGAAATGTTAAGGCTTTGACATCTTTATCCAAGATTTGGTGAATTGACTAAGTTAAGTGAATAGTATAGTTATTGAGAAAATAAACTTTTAGACATTTTGGTACTCTGTAAAATCTGAACTCCTTTAAAAAGATTGCTTTAGAAGCATCATGGCACTGTAGAAAAAGAAAAGTTATTCTCTTTTAGGTTTACATTTGATGTATAAGGTCCTTGTCCTAGGGTAGCTTGAAGATTAGAAATTATGTATATAGCGTGGTACCAAAAATATAGTAGCTGGTCACTAGATGGTTTTGTAATGCTATGTCCCTTCTGTCAAGATTAAGTCATCGTCTTCTGGTAACCATGTGATAATGAGTTATTGTTTTTGCTTATAGAAGAATAATATTTTCAAATTAGGTCACCTCCACACTTACGTGGTAAGTTACATGCATTGGAGACCATGCAGTTTATTCACGTTTGTCTTCCTAGTGCCTGGTGATGTGCTTGCTTTACCACACCACCTTAGTAAATACTGAAAGGGTTAAGTGATGACAGGTGTATTACTTCCGATAATGGTACGTGTCATAGAAAATACAAAATCCCAGTAGTTGAACTCACCAGTCTTCTGTGGTTACACATCAACAGTATGCTGACTGAACTTGTTTGCGGTAATGGAACACAGTGATATATTTCATTGCATTTAGCATTATTACATACTGTTTTCAGCTTGCCTAACCATGACTTGAGTACCGTATGTTATTATGCAGGATGTGACTTCTTTACATTTTCGTTTTACTTTGTAAAAAATAGAATTTTGGTAAAACTCTCTGAAGTTTTTAAAGAAGTTAAAAAAAAAAAAATCAGCTGCCTTGTCTTGTTCCTGTCTTCAGTCTCTTACCCTTACAAACGTTTTTATTTGGCTTCTCTGACAAGGGAGAAGATGTCAACCGGACACTAGAAGGCGGAAGGAAGCCTCTTCATTATGCCGCAGACTGTGGACAGCTTGAAATCCTGGAATTTCTGCTGCTGAAAGGAGCAGATATCAATGTATGTATTAGACATACATTAATACTTAATGGTATATGTATAGTATATGTCATTCTAGGAAAAGTCTGTCATGTGCTTGGAGGAATTTTTTGCTGTAGGTTTATGAAGTAGCTACTTTGAATAATCTAGTCCTATACAAACCATTCTTTTTTAAGTTAATGAACTGTTTGCTGTCTCCCCCTTTGGCTGTTGCTTTTCAAGTTATAAAGCTGGCAAGTTCCCGTGTCATGGAGCACAGGTCCCTGAAGGGATAGGCCGTAGTAGCCTGGACCATGGAATTAGTGTGGGGAAGTCGTCAGGCAGGACTTCTCGTCTCCTGACCTGAGCCCTCTGTGAGTTGAGGGTTTTAGGGAATTGTTTTGGTGATCGTAATAGTGAAAGAGATAGCTTCTCCCCATGTCAATTGTCCCAGTTTGGCTGTCTCCTCTTACCTTCTCATTGGCATTGCTACCCTGTCCTTCCTTTCTGAGCCACACTGGCATTTCTACAGTAAAGCTAGAAACCAAGCACATCGTGAGCAGATGAAAGATTTGAGCTGAGGTGAGATTCCCAATAAAAAAGACACTACTTGTGTGCTTGGGCTCCTTGATAATTTTCAAGTGGTTAGAAACTTCTCTCTGGATTAATTTTTATACAGAAAGGAAAAATGGTTATTAATTTTGAAACAGTCATAAGAATTCCCTAATTAGATATAGGAAGATGGTTAAAAAAAAAAAAAGTAGGTAAAATTGTCTCTTTGATATCTGCAGGCCCCAGATAAACATCATATTACCCCTCTTCTGTCTGCTGTCTATGAGGGTCATGTTTCCTGTGTGAAATTGCTTCTCTCAAAGGTAAGGTCAATGTTCATTTTTATCGCTTACTTTAAAACTCTACTTTGGAGCTATTTAAACTAAGTGTGGCTGCAGGAACAGAAATTGAGACCTAGAACAGTGTTAGTTATAATTGCTGGCTACATACTGTTTGCTTCCAGTCTGTGATGGTTAAAGTGCTTGACCTAATTTCATAAGAAAACCTTGTTAAGCAAAAGAAGTCAGCTAAAATAAGCAAGCATTAATGGCATAAAAAATGTCACCATTGTGGGTGATGGTACAGGGTGTAGAGAACACTTTAAGTAACAGGTTTGAAATTTTACAGTTTATTTTCTGTAGTCTATACAGAGAAAGAGTATCAGAAGTGTTGTACTATGAGTTCTTTCTAGTTTGTTGATATGATTGAGACAGTGATGAGTCTGGGAGATTTCTGTCTTCATTTCTGTTAGTACGTGATGGGGTACGGGATCCAACCTTGGGAGTAGCCAGTTACTAGCAACCATTCTAGCTGTGTTATATTCTGTAAGGGAAGAAATCCCTAGAGAATGAGTCACCATACACTGACTGAAAGGTGGTGCTGGGCATGTTAGCATTGGGGTCTCAGATTACAGCCTGCTAAAAGAGAGCGGCAAGGGAAACAAAACGAAACGAAATTAATATGTATGTATAAAGATTTACCAAGTTTCTGAAACAATGTTTTTGTAGTCATAATCAGTAAAGAGTAGTTTTTATTATAGTGAAGACTTGTTGCTTGAGTGTCAGTACAATAGAGAGAGAACAAGGGAAGATGAATGCTTGTCTGAACGCTTACCATCTTCTTAGAGCTAGCTCCACAGCGGGTCCTGGTACACTGGTGTTGAGTTCCACTCTTAGATTCATATACAACAATAACTAGGTATCTGTAAGTGTGTGCTTTTCATTCTTTCCTAATAAATTCAGGGTGTTCTTTCCTCAGCCATTTCTTGAACTATAGATAGAACTTTTTTTCTTTCTGATGTTTTTTTCATAAGAAAACAAAATAGTTTTCTTAGCCAATCTTTTTTTTTTTTTTTTTAATCAGTGGTACTCCATCAGAAATTCTTTATTGCTAAAACAAGGCTATTCCAATGTAAAAGATGCAGTCAGTATTTATATTAATTCTAGGTCTTCCTTGCACCCAAACTAGAATTCTTATAGTTTCCACAATCATTTACATTTCTCATATCTTTACATATCTTATGCAACTATTGTACTGTTAGCATAAGGATAAAATAATAAGCAGCAATTTAGAAACAGTATGGCTACAGCTAATAGGACATAGAAACAAAGGAAATTTCTAGAATCAAAACTGTGTGTGCCAAGTAACAGTTTACTCAAATCAAATACCACAAGCATCATCTCCTTTTATGGATAAAGAGACTGTTTGTCTCAAGGACATCTAACTGCCTGAAGGCCTAACAAAATTTAATGGGTTCAAAATCTGTCCCAAGATGTAGGTTTAACAGCCTGTGTTCTCTCTGCCACTCAAAAATGCCTTTGGAAATTAATCAGATCATTTGTGAGGCGTGGAACATGCCCTTATCTATAGATAGGAAGACATGCAGCCTGATGTTTAATTGCTGAGCTGATAAATTAGAAAAATGCAGAAATCAGAAATATCAGAGTTCCATTTGAAACTGAGGTCTAACACATGCCCTTGCCTCCTGGTTTGGGGTGGTGGTTTTTGTTGTTCTTGCTTGTTTGCTTGCTAGCTTGGTTTTTGGTTTGGTTTTGGTTTTTCTTATTTTGTGGGGTGTGTGTGAACCAATGCTTTGTAAAATGGATCATACAAAGAAGATTTCATTAGACATTAGATAAGAAATGGTAGTGAATCCTTAAAACACAGAAACATTTTTACAAAAGGTGGGCGGTGATCCAGGGATACTCCAAGCCCAAAGGTACTTGGTACCCTTGAGCAAGTGGAGTGGAAGTTGGATATGCTTCAGGAAGGAGCATGGGGCAAGAAAGAAAAATGAGAATATGAATAAATCTAAGCAGATCTTAAAACTCAAATGAATGTTAGCTAAGACCAGAGAATTGGTAAAGTGAGTGTGTGATATTGACCCCCCCCAAGAAAAGAATGGTGACTAATATAATAACACAGCATCAAGTGAGTGTAAGGACCAAGCTCACTATGCTTCAGCCTGTTCTTATCAAAGCAAAAATAGACTGTGAAATCGTGTGTCATTTAGAATTGTAATTATCTCAGCTGAATAAAGTTCTCCTTTTTGCCCTAAAAAGTCTTTACCAGGAAATTCTTTGAAATGTAAGCAGTACATTTCAGTGCTATAAAAGTATAGGCCAGGCTCCTGTAATCTCAGTACTTGGGTAGTGGAGGTATGGTAGCTAGCTCAAGACCAGCTTGGGCTACGTGAGACCCTAACAAGGTTGCATACCATGGGTATGTGGGGGGGGGGTAGAATACCACATGTTTTATTCCTGTGCAAACCATGTGGTCTTAGTCATAATTTTGTGATAGCAGCTCTGTGTATTTCATCATTGAGTGGGGAATAAAATGTCATTTACAAAAACAAGTACTTACACTGTAGTTTGCTGTAGCTCACAAGTAGTTTGGATTTTATAGTAAGCATCATTTTAAAGCCTAACTTTGAGTTGTTCTTCCAAAGTTGAATGTGCATCAGTTTGGACATGCAACACTTACTGTTGAAAACAAATGTAGCCAAACGAGTTCATAAACACTGATCTGGATCTTCATGGTTCATTACTAAACTCTGCTGATTCATGTTTCAAATGTCAAAGTAATAGAATGAGTACATTATTTGAAGAGAGTAGGTGGTAAACCATATTTTTTTTTTTAAAACTCTACTATTGTTAGCAAATGGGCTTTTATAAGTCCAAAACTCAGTTTAAAGTTATATATAGTATGATGTTATTTTCAAGGTTAAAAAAATATATATCCCAAGAGAAATATTAGGAGTTTGCCTGTAGCAGCTTTACAATGTCATGTTGAACAGTTCTTACATTATTTACCAGATACTAAATTTTCTACAGTATTACTTTTTAAAAATCCCTTATAATTCATATAATTTCTTAAAGTTTATATGTGATAATAAAAGATTTTTTTAAGTAGTCCAGTATTCTTGTTCTTTAATCCTAAGAAAAAAGTCATTTTAAAATCTGTTAGTATATGGTGTCATAGAAAAATACACTTAATCTACCTACCCTAAAAATACTCTACTTCTATTTTGAGACAGAGTTTCTCTGTATTGCTTTGAAGCCTGTCCTGGAACTCCCTCTGTAGACCAGTCTGGCCTCGAACTCATATAGAGAGATCCGCCTGCCTCTGCCTCCTGAGTGCTGGGATTAAAGGCGTGCACCACCAACACCCAGCCTACCTTACTTTTTTGTGATAAACTGATAGCAGACTACATTGCTTATGTGATATGCACTGCTATTAAAACTAATAGGAGCTAGGCATGGTGGCTCATCGCCGGAATCCCAATACTCAGGACGCAAGATAGGAAGATCAGCCTGTGCAGCTATAGATCAAGACTGTCTCAAACAGCCAAAACAAACAAATAAGGTAGGAATGGGAATTCCTTCAAATAGACATGCTACATCCCAGTAACATAAGTTTCAAAGCAGAGTCTTACTGTATCTTAGATTATAAAAACAGACAGTATATTTAACTTGTTTTTATAAACCATCATTCAGTTACTAATTGTATTTAGCATTCTTAAGGCTTTATCTTCCAGGAAGACATTCAAAAGAAACTTTGTTTTCCTTTCTTTCTTTGCAAAGAACTTACCTCCTTAAGAAGTCTACTTCTTAAGGGGTTTGGAGCCCTTAACAACCCATTGTGCCTCTCTAATTTTAGTGATTTGTGACTATTCTGCATCACTCTGTAAACTGTTCCTCTCATTTGTTAAGATTAAAAAAAAGGTCTGCTAGGAAACATGAAATACCTCTGTTAATAAGAATTTTTCGTTGTTGTTTAAATGAGCTTACAAACATAGTGGGTCTCTTTGTGGTATTTTCATATGTTCTTTTTAGTTAACCATCTCCCTACCCTCGTCTTCCTCTTCGTGTCCCTTGTCCCCACTCAACCCTCCCACCAGCGGTGTTCTCTGCCTCCACTGTCACCGTGCCTGTGTCCTCAGCCCTGTCTCCTTACTACGGCCCCTTGTTTCTGTCTTACGTCCTTTGTAGGCTCTGGGTCTCTGCACATACTCACACATGAATACAACAGCAGAAGACTGAGCCAGCATCCACATCGGAGAGCACATTCCCCATTTGTCTTTCTGAGTACTGGTTCCCTCCATGCGTGACTTGGCAGTTCCAGCTCTTGATGTTTTTAACAAACATGTTCTTTGATTTTTTTTTTTTTTTTTTTTTTAATTTTACTTTTGAGCAAGCAGCCTCTTGGACATGAAACGTAGGGCCATTTCACAGTTTAGTCACCAGTAAAGTATCTACTATATTTTGTGTTGAGAACTGAGAATTAGCTATATAAGATATAAGAAAGGGCTCGAAATATGCTCTTGCAGCATAAGCAAACAGGTGAGCCAAAAGGCAGAGCCATTTTTATTTAGATTATTCACTGAGTCAAGCCCACATTTGATGATTACAAAACCTAAAAGCTTCTGTATAAGTGGATAAGTTTAGTCTTAATAATTTTAGGGCCACTGATCTCAAAGAATCCAACATTCCCTTCTCAGTTGCCTTATTTTAAGAGATTGTACCATAAAGAGACTAGCAACAATTTACCCAGCAGTTAACTGAAGAACTCTTACTGTAGGTTTATAAATCTCATACATAAATGTGCCCTTGTAAGTTCATTATTTTCACCCAGTCAGCTCTTTCAAGCTGTAGTACATCATTATTTTTGATGGTTTCTGCTAGTGACAGGTACTGTGTATTTTAGAACCTATTTCTTCTGACTTATACTTCCCAGTAGATCTGGTTTGAGCATACTTTTTAACATCTCATCATAAACTTTCTCTTTTGTAACATGGGTCCAATTCATAAGAGGATAAAATAGC